AGAAATTTTAGCTTTTATCTTTTTCTTAAGTTATTTTGACTCATTTAAGAAAAATCTTCTTATAACCATAACAATTTATAATAAGTTCTTTAATAGCATTACACATTTGATATTTTCCAGAAAGATACTGAAATATTAATAGCAAGCCTAAGTAAACTTTAAGTGTCAGTATATATTATAATTTAGTCATCCTCTCTAATTAGTTATTTCTTATCTATCCAATTTCTCATAAGCTTGAAAAATATTGTCTAATACCTTGCTTTGCTAGTTTTAAATGAGCATCCTTGCCATATCTGAAGAATTTGAAAAGAATGTTTTATTTCACATTCCCATGGAAAAAAGTTCTCACTTGTGTTTTCAAATGTAATATAAATATTAATATAAAAATGTTATATGGATCCAAAACATGTAAAAAAAGTTACCGATACACATATCATATTGAATGAGACGTGATAAAACTTACTATCAGATGTCTGAAATAATAATAACAGGGTGTGAGATAAAGTGTGGTGTTAAGAGTCTAGTGTTCAAAATGGCTTCATCAGTCATTGGCTGACATTGCCAAGAGTGGGTAGGAATATGGGAGTAAGGATTGTTAGCCGATCAGTGAATGGATTGGTTAGTTTTGCCAATCCACATAGAATCGGCTGTCTCCCCATTAAATTGAGCTGATCCATCATCAAAATTAGAGAAACTCACAAACAGTAAAGAAGAAACAAGAGAATGAAGCATGTCCTTCAGGACCAGGGATTCTTGTGCTAGCCAGACCAGGGATTATAGGAGCAGCCATCGGAACTGCAGCAAAGAACTAGAGACCTGACATGAGACTGAGCAGACCAGGGGATTGTCACCTATGGAAACAGAACTAAAATTCTTTGCCCACGTTTGTTAGACAACTAGTGGTGGGGATGGGAGACCCATAATTGGCAGGACTGAGAGTTTTGTAACACTGGCCTAAAGCCACAAGACTCAATGCTGAGGCATCTGTGAGCACACCATGGGAGCTGTCCTAACTCAAAGAATTTCCTCTGCTACTAACATGACTTATAGTCTTTTCACTTCCCTAATATGGTTTGGAAGCATGAGTGGCTTCTACTTCCTAAACAACATGCCTTTGGAAACTAGGAATTTACAGAAGAGACGGTAGTTACAGAACAGGGTTCAGGACTTTTGTTCATAGGGTCACTATGAGTCATTCATAGACTTACCATGAGTCTACAACACTTAACAACAACAAAATTATTTGAGGACTAAGGTGAGTCTAATTTGGGTCATATCTGTCTGATTACTTACTTAGCATCTGAGAGCTGGACAATCAATAAGGATGACAGAAAAAGAATTGATGCCTTTGAGTTTTGGTGTTGGAGATGAGCACTGAACAAGAGAACAAACAGGTATGTCTTGGAGAGGGTGCAGCCAGAGTGTTCTTTGGAGCCAAGAATAATGAGGCTTTACCTCATATACTGTGGGCATGTTGGGGTGGAGGGTTGGTGAAGGAAAGTTTGAGGACTAAGGAGCATCTGACTCAAACTATGGTCTTTCTGAGTACTATGCATCTGAGAGCTGGACAATGAATAAGGATGACAGAAGCAGAACTGATGCCTTTGAGCTGTGATATTGGAGAAAGTAGGGAACAATAGCCCATGGACTGCCAAAAGCACAA